AGACTAAGCAATAATTAATCACAGATCTGCATACGTCCTGTTTCTGTTTTATTCTGCTTTATTTGTAACCACAATGTCATATTAATTTAAAAAAAAATATATGTTCAATTATATCTGAAGACTATGAACCACTCCAATCTGTTCGTTTTTGTAAATGTAAAAATACTCATACACAATATATTAATTTTCTTCAATCCCGAAGCAAAAATTTTATTTAATTATGGAATCATCATGCGGCATGTAAACAAGCAAGCCAGAAACATTCTGTATTACTTATACCCTACCCAAGCACAGAGACCACACGATCTCATTGTTAACCGAAATTGTGAAAACATATTTATTTTACAACTAAAAAATAAGTAAGAGTAATAGTTTTTACTGATTTTATTAAACGTTATAATCACGTTAATTGCTGAATCTTTCTGCGGCTCAGGTAAAGGAACTCTTTCCCTCTATAAACGGCGCAGAGCAAAAGAAAAGAGAACTATTTTGTGAAGGATTATCAAGACTAACACAATCTAAAATGCTTTGAGGGACTAACAACCTAAAAGAATTTAAGGATTGCATAGAACTAACAAAGAATAACTTAAGAATTATAACAGAAATACTAAACTGTCATTATAGATTGTAAAATCACCTAACAATGTTAGAAATCCAATTGAACTTGGGCTGCAAATACTAAAGGGAAGAGAAAAAAACCACATGCCATATACTAAGGAAATTCCCGGCACTGATGCATAAGCGGTAGAAAAGCTTAAGAGGGTATTTCATGGAATATAGGGAATTAAGGCTAGGAGAGAGTGCACTGTCCCTTATTCAAAATAAAATAATAATATTAATCTCGTTATTGCTTGAAAATATTTAAAAAAAAATAATAGTTAAGAAAACAATCAATCGGAAAATAAATAAACCCATTTGGCTTTATAACTAAAGATGATTTTAAAAAGTATTCGATTTCTTTCAAATTGTTCTAAAGTTCAATTTGAGAAATTTCCATGAAATTAATGAAAAATTACGATTTCCAGGATATCAGAACTTGATGACAGGTATTGTTAAAACCAATTATCTCCTTAAATTGCTGTTAATGGTAGTTTATATATCACAACGAACTAATATCTAAACTTAAATAGGCTTCGGCGACAAGGCTGCCACTTCAACCAGAAGTTATGTTCCATTATTTGATTTTGACTGAAGAAATTGAGTTCTCGCAATATTAAATGACTGAACCTATAATTACCAACAAACTATAGCGGTTTGGAAACTACTGTGTAAACAAGAAGTTCGTAGCATGGTGGCAGTGTGGAAAAGCTGCCTATTGGCCAGTATATTTTTGTAGTTTGTAAGGGAAGCTGTCTTTCGATATTCAGTGCTGCCATCTACATGCTGTTGAGTTAAGGCAGGACTGATCTCTATCTTAAACCATTTTGTAACTTACGGAGGATATTTTGGAATTATAGAAACCTGTGTGAATATATGTAGTTAAATTTCTACAAAATTCTACTTATAAATTCTAAATAAATTTTTTTTAACAACATTTATATTAATAGTCAACTTTCCAATTTATTTAATTTTCATAATTATTTATTTGTTAGTTTATGTACGAACTCAAATTATTTAAAGCTAAAGAATTTTAAGCTAATTTAAATTAAGTAATTTTAGGTTAATTACGAAGTATGGACAGACCATGTAACGTACACAAATGTTACTTAATTTAAAATACCAGAAGCTTTAATTAAAATTTCTGCTATTAATTGCGCTACAAGAAATACTTGTATATAAATTTTCTTAACATCGGTGGTAAATTTAAATTCCGTTTTTATAAAATCTTTTATGCAATGAAAACAGAAAAGAACAACTATTGCCACTGAAGAGGGCATCCATTCATTATTCACTCGGATTCCCAGCGAAATCTAAAAAGCACTTTAAACCTTTTCGCGGTCAATTTACATTAAACACAGCTTACACAGAACTTACGAGTACTAATACTTATTAAAATAATACGAAAATAAAAAGAGTGAAAAAGGAAGAACCCCAGCCGGAAGTAAGGACAGAAAAAATAGCTTTTTCTAGTTTTTGAATATTTTACAAGAATGCCATCCTCAATTCAATTAACGTTCCAAAGTGCATTTGCATTTAACACTCCCACTTTTGATAATATTGCGAAACGGACTAAAATACCTATACATATACACAAAGACAACGCACACTAACGCACATTATACTGCAGCCACTGACACATAGACATGAACCCAGCTAAACGAGCTTATGCCTGCAGAGTTAGTTACACAAACAAGGATTTTAACACTGGAAAAAATGGATGTAACGGACTATCTGCCTGTAAAGTATGAGTACGTCCATGTGATGCATGTGATCGTTTATCAGATGCAGGATGCCAGCAATGATTGTGGCAGCGGATAATGTTGGGTAGAAGGTTGGACGTGTAGGAGAGGTGGTTCTTTGGCTTATTTAAAATATGCACAGGTGTAAGGCTACTGCCGCTGGTAGAAAGCAGGTGCCACATGGCAGATTACCACTCTTGTCTTTTTTTGTGCTTTATTATTTTTTATTTCCGTTTCCATTTTAATGTGAACTTGCCCCACGTTTTAGCGTAAGTGTATTTGCACTTTAACTCAATGACACAACTTTTTTACGAGCTACGTGCGTATGTGTTCCATTAAAGTTAGCATGGCAGGAAATAAGTTGACCGGATTACTCACCTTAGATTATGTTGATGTATTGCAAATGTCGGTCCTGGGTGAGAAAATGACCGTAGTGATTATTGCAAGTGAGATTATAATTGAAATGAATGGTTAATACTGAAACTACAAGAACCGACCAGTTGAAAATTATTCAAACTTTTTGAACTTTCAGTGGTCGGGGCAAGTGGAAGGTGTGAAAAATACATGAAATAATAAAAAAAAACTTTTTTGTCACATATTGGTAAAAGTTTTAAAATATATTTAAATTATATATATAAATGATTTTAATAGAAGTTGTTAATTCGGAAGGAAGTAAAATGCTAGCTTTAATATAGTTTAAATACACTTCTGATTTCTTAAAAGTTTTCTATTAAATAAAATATTGATTTTGGTAAAACTTAAATACACTTTATTTTTCAGTTTAGAAACGAAAGTTTATATAGTAGCTTTCTCATTCAGTTCTTGAAATTTGAATATTTATGTGGTGGTTAAATGCATTTCCATTTAAGTCAAGACATGATGGACTTAGTGGCTCAACAAAAAAATTTTGTCAATGAATTGGTATGTCCTGGTCTCAAAATATAGCAAAGTTATAGTACCCGAAAATGGCCTTTGCTTAGAATAAGGTGTCATTAAAGTCATAAAATGTATCAAAAATTTAACAAAAAACAATAACATTTGAGTTTCGATATATTCGAGAATAAGAAACCTTCAAAAAAATTACTAGTTTTATGACCAGTTATAATATAGACGCAAAGATTTAAGAGAATGCTATTATAAAAAATATAGCAATGGTATATAAATAATATGGAATGCTCCATTAATTTGAAACTTAACAATTACTGTAACGACAAAAAAAAGAAAATTAAGTAACTTAAGGTGTTTTCTATCAGTAAATCTGTGGTATTTTTTCAATCAAGATACTCCTTCCTACGTGACGAGGTACCCAAAGCCTCATTACTATGATCAAATTCAAACCGACATTTTCCTTCTTCTCTTACTCTCAATTCCTCAATTTGCTTTAGAAGCAACAACAATTTCATTTTTGATGTGCCCGTGACTCACTGCATAAAATGGGCCTAACAACATTTATGAAAATACTAAAAATATAATAAAAATAAGAAAAAATATGATATTTACTCGTACAAGTTAATGATTATTTTAATAAAACATTTTAGATAGGAATCGTTACTTTAACAGCCCAAAATAAAGAAATTGTCGAGTTGAGAGCTACAAAAGCCAAACGAAACTTTTCCAGACAAACAAGTTGATGTCCCGTTTGGTAGCAATCAAACGATCGAAAAATATCACACGATTCTGCCGTTAATGAAACCAAGCGCAGGGGCGGATTTAAGACGCCGCGAGTGTTAACTTATATATATCTTATTTGATTTACTTCACTAATTTTTGATAATCACTACTCTATTTTTTTTAGAACTCTACCAATTCTAAAACTCTAGTCTATCACATAGTCTATATCTTTAAAAAAAATGTTACTTATACGTCAGATAAAACCCTTGCTTTTCCCTTCACAGCAATTTTCCTTTGTGTATTTTCCTTCGTTTTGCATTATTTTCGAGTATTTTAGCCGTCATTTTAATAGTTTTCAGCGCTATAGTACCTTTTCTGCTAATATCTCGATGACATACACGTTTGGTGCTAAATTAACACTTTCAATAACATAAATGCCAATAATGAAGTTCGCAATATGCCGACGGACGTAAATACGTAAACATTAATTGGAATTACGCTTAGACCCAGGCTTTGAAATGTCACGTACATAGACGACAAACGCGTTTGTACGCTAACCATAGAATAGTCATAACAAAGAAACAACAACAACAACAGCAACAACTACAACGCGACTAGTAGCAATGACAGCTGCAAACGAGCGAGCGAGCGAGTGAGCGAGCGGAAGGAAGGAAGCGAATTTCAGTTTATTTAATAATGGCGCTCAAGTGGCATTATAATTACAGTGAGCAGTGCATAGTCTTTGTGTGGCGTGCCTTTGGCGGTAATGCACTAATCTACACAACTAATTGTGTAAGAAATATGCGAAGCATGTCCCTCAAAGCGAAATATTTAGAAAAATAGACAAAATTGTTTAATATTTATGAAGTTTATTACAAAATTTGTATTGTTTTTGTAGCGCTTCAATAAAAAATTCTTCGACATGTACAGAAAAGGGAAAAAATTTGTATAAAATGTCTGTTCCGATCAGAAATAGACAACAGTCAACAACTGCACAAAACACTAGCAACTGCTAAGAATATTAGGCTTCAAACCAACAACTTTTAAATAATGGCAAAATTATTCCAAATCCTTTTAGTGAGCTGCTTTGTGCTTGCACTCTGCACCGCAGAAGCACCACGAGTACGGTCCATACGCTTTCAAAATCAACGCCGCAGTCGTGTCTTAGCACGTCAAGAAGTAGCTGAAGAAGCTGTCACTCCATATCCTTCAGCAGCCGAATTGAAACCAGAACTGCCATTTAATGAAGCAGATAACTCAGAACCAGCAGCTTTGGCACCTGAAGATAATATTAATGTACCCGAAGTTATTGATAATCGTCAACCTGATTTGACCTACGGACCACCAGAAGCTGAAACCGATGACATTCCTGTCGATGAAGAAGAAGAACAAGATGTTTTACCAGCTGAAGAAGCTGTGGCTGATGTAGCGCCAGAAGATGAGCCAGCTGAAGAAGTTGCTGTTGATGAACAACAATCGGAGCGCTTGACTCGTGGTCGTCGTATTAATTCACGCAAAAGTGCACGTCCAGCTAAATTGCGCGCTGCTCCGAAAGCCAAATCAGCACGTCTCCAACAACAACCATTACAACAACAAGTTCAACCACAATTTGTAGCACAACCAGTATTCTTCTACACCGCACAGCTCAGAAATTGGTAAAATTATAATAATGGATTAAGGGCTACTATATGCCTTAAATAAAATGTACCTTACAAATGTTTCCTATATATTGCAACAAATTGTTTCTAAATAAATTAATAAATAAATAAAAAAATTTTTATACACACAAATGAAAATATTACCTTTTTGTTATTTTAAATAGTAATGCATATTAATATTAATAAATTAGTATTGCTTTCTTGGTTCAATTAAAAACTGTTTTTAAGCCACACACACCTCAACCCCCAAAAAACTGTTGTGGTTCCGTTTGCGCTTAAAAGTAAATTGGATATAGGTCGTATACGTTTGGGAAGCACTACTATTCCTCTTTCTAGTAAAATAAATTAACTGGGAGTCGTCCATAATGGTAAACTCACCTGGAATACGTACTTAAATAAAGTGTATACAAAACCGACAAGGACTTTATAGACAAGACTGTTCTATACTGGCAAAACTTGATACCTCAACCGAAAAATTTTATTTTAACAGCAGTACATTCTATCATGATATATTGCTGTGTGGTTTCATAGTAAAAAGTCATACAGACTGGATCTATTGTTGTTTACATGAAGTTTCAGAGACTTGTGTGTCTCTTAATGACTGGCGCTAGGAGGAAAGATTTAGAACTTGATCATTGTAGTCATAGCCATAGTATGTATTTATGTAGCTGAATATTCAAATTTAACTTTTTACTAATGGAATTATCAGATTCTAATGAATATTGTATGGTATATATTCATGCAGTTTTAACTAAATTTCTTTATAGTTCCTTCCTTTGTAGTTTTTTCATACTGAAAGTTCTTTGATTGCTCCAAACGTGTGTCCAGACCACTGTAGTCATAACACTATGCAACATCAGTTGAAAAACTAAGACCTCTTTAACTTTATCGCAAACTGGCTGTTTTTATATGGTTCAGAGCTAACTCATTGGAGAATCGGCTTAGCTATTCTATTTATCTATTGTTGGATTTTCAAATTTCATCTTTTACAAAAGGAATTTTTAGGTCTTGATGAATAAAGTAATTTAATTTATACCATGGAGCTTTGATTATATTTCATAGTGTTTTTGATTGATTTCTTTATAATGTTTTTATGTAATATGTATTTCTATAAGAAGGGCCAGTATCCTAAAGTGGATTAGATAATGTTCAAGCCAACTTTGAAACAACTCTGTGTAACAAAATCTTGTACTCCAAATTTAATTGAGTATTACAATACAGTACATTTTTTTGGATTTTAGGAGGAGCTAAAGTTGCTTGGTTTTTATACGGTTTCTTGTGGTAAGCTAGTGGTAAGCTTGTGGTCCAAATGTATACCCAGATATTTCCTAGACTTACATTGTGGCATTGTAAGTATCAACTTCTGAACAGGTTTCATTTCTGGAAGTGAAAGTAACTTCTAGTTTTACCGTGTTGTCCATAATTTTCGATTTTGTAATCATTTATCGAACTATCTAGGCTGGAGCTGTAGCAGAAATCTCATTAGTTATTACAATTTTTGTACTAGACAAGACAGTAGTATACGATATACTACTATAGTAGTATACGACACCGACCCAAACACACTTTCTTATGAAACTCCGCAATTGATGCGATAAAGAATGAACAATTTACTTTAAAGTTGTACATAAAATCTGATCTTTTGCGATAATTACAAGTTTATTCAAAATCGGTAAGAGTATATTTTCAAATTTTTTGAAGAACTCGAGTATTAGCAATAAACTCATTTGCCAATATGAAGAAAAGCTATTTCCTGCCTTATTTTACTTAGTATAATGATTATTTTCGTACATTTCTGTTGACTTAAGTAGTAGTTTCCCATTAGCATTATAACAGTTTCAAACAGTTTAGTGAAAGTCTTATAGTATTCTTCTTATTAGTATTCCTGACCTCGATATGAAGTACAGGGCTTTGCAGATGATCTGGTTATCATTGTTAGAGGCAAGTTTGAGTCCTCCATATCCGATCGTATGCAACTAGCTCTTAACATCACTCAAGATGAAAAAGGACTCTCGATTAATCCGAATAAAACAAACGTGGTACCCTTCAACAGAGAAGGTAGATGAATCTAGGGACCCTAAAGTTAAGGGATACTGATTTAATATTATTTGAGGAAATAAAATATCTAGGAATAATTCTAGATAAAACTCTTACTTGGAAAAACCATTAATCATATATAACTGGCAAAGCCCTAAGAACAACTTATCCGTGCCAAAGACTGTATGGAAAACATGAGGTCTGCGACCAAAAATGATGGCTTATTCGTACAAGACCGTAATAGTATCAATGATCACCTATACTCTATTGGCATGGTGACCAAAGGTAAATCATATGAAGGCTAAGATGACCCTCAATAAGATTCATCAAACAGCCTGTCTAAGCGTAACGGGAGCAATGAGAACGTAGTGCAGGAGCAGGAACTATGGGATCGAAATTTCTCAAAGCAATCGCAATGGAAAAAACTGCTACCATTTTTTAGGCAGGGGTCCATATCTTAGAGCTATGTGAGAGAGAATGCCTACGTAGAGGCACCCGAGGTACCAAAATATGCATTCTTTCAGACAACCAAGCAGCTCTAAAATCTTTAGCAAAATCCTCATTCCAATCAAAGTTGGTTTGGGAATGCTTTTAACTTCTCAATACCCCAGCATAGAAGAACTATGTTACTTTTATGTGGGTACCGGGACACGAAGGACATGAGGGCAATGAAATAGCAGACTCCCTAGAAAAAAACAGTGCATGCACTCCTTTCATTGGTCCAGAACCCTTCTGCGGAGTAACAAATTGCTTCCCAAATAACTTATTATGTGAACGGAAGAAATAACATCTACTTGAACACTGGAGAGCCCAAACAGGCATGCGACAGTCAAAAAGATTCATTGATCCTGAACACATCAAAGTTGTAGATTTAATTACCACATGAAAATTATAGGTGCGGTAGAAAGTGACTCCTGTTAACTCTGTCATGCGGAGAAGCAAACATCAGAACATATACTATGCAACTGCGCAGCGCGGCAAGACATAGACTCGACTACCTTGTAAGCGGGATCTTAGTCCCAAAACAAATAGGTAAAATTAAGCCCACAGCAATTACAAGATTTATAAATAGTCTAGAATTGTCTTAGTTAGGCCTTTAGGCGCACAATAGATCTTTTAGGTCGGGGTGCATTCATATTCTATTTTTTAATAATAAATATTAGTATTCTTCTTCATTAATCATTTTAAAACATACAATAATAATCCATATTTTATACATTATTTACTTAAAGCTATGACCTAATGTCGTCAGTTTGATAGCGTTATAGTTATAAATCCATTAAATTAATTACGAGGTTTCCTATCGTGAAATTTTAAAATTAGGTTCACCTTTTGCAAACGAAATATAATAAATTGGAAGTTTAATTTGGCACGATGTTGTTAAAATTGAATACTTCGCCTTCAGCGGTAGTTTCAAGAGGACCTTTTAAACATTTATTGAAAATGCCTAGCAAAAAGCTTCAACTGTTTTCTAATAAGATTTGTAACATTTGCTACATAAAGCGTAGAATATACAGTTGGTTCAAATACAATCATCAATACAATCATCGTGCATCTTTATCCGATTTTGTGCCAGATAACCCGGGTAACTTATATCAAGCAACAAGTAAGTCAAATTACACATATTATTTATCATCATCAAATAAAAATATTTTAAATTCACATAAGCAGATCCTAATGTATCCATTTAATGCTGTTTCAATAGAAGACTGATTTTTTTTTATATGATGTATATAATATATAATAATGAAAAAAAAATCAGCAAATTCTGATTTCAGTATATACTGATTTATATATCAGTATATTTTCATATTTTTTGACTATTTTTTTAAATAATTTATTTAATTTTTAATTTTATTTTAATATCCATTATTCATTCTCAAAATAATTTAATTTCTGTTAAAATTTGGCCAAAATCTCATTGGTAGTTTCAATAGTGCAAAAGGTACTCTGAATCTGTCAGTATTCGCTGCAGTTGTGATACTACTTCCAGCTGTAGGATTATGCACGTTGTCAGAATAGTCATCATTATGGAAATGTGAACTAAATTCCTCATCATAAGTTATATAGTCCTGTGAACTTATGTCGGAATGTGGTTGAAAATATCCTGTCTCATAATGAGTATAATCAGTTGGATCTGTGCTATCAGCCACTATAACTGTTATAACAGCAAATAAATAAATAATTTTAAACATTTCTCTTGAATCTCACAAAATCAAACTATATATTTTTCTCGAAGGTATTAACTTTTATACGAAAATTATTATTTTTAATTCACACTAATTTGGCAAAAGTTTGTAAATTTGTGTCAGATTAAAACTTGAAACTCGTCGAAAATTGAATTACTTTAAAAATCTTGCCAAAATCATCCCAGAATCTTTAATCGTTTTACATGAATATTGAGTTAGGCAAACTTTTAAATTGTTTACTAACGTCTAACGTTGGTTGTAATGAAGTTGTTTAATATGTGCAACAGGTACGAGTTTGAACTTCAAATCGAACGATTTAAACTTGAATATTTCCATAGTTCAACGTTCTCGTAATTTAATTTGAATTACTCAGAGTGCCAGCATAAATTTTCAGTTTAAGGCTCTTGGAAATGCTGGGCACGTTCCCAGTGTCGGCCAATGTGTATTGATGAGTTTGTGGTCAAATCGGCCTTTGATCGATTTGCATATTCCAAATGTATTCGTTGCGCACGGACCTGATGGGCCCATCAACACATCCAAATTTGTGAGTTTTTTTCGGATTTCATTTTCTTGCGTTCGATTTGTGTTTTGGGTTACGAATTTCGTTTTTGTTATTAAAATTGTTTTCAACTTTTATTTTCAATTAAATTCAATTTTAACTAAGTACACAATCGTATGCAACAAACGTACATGTACACGTACACGTACTTTTTACAATTTCCGACTTCCGTTCTATAGAATTTCGGGGTATAAACACAAAATTTTGCTAGTCGAAAAAATTTGAATTTTTATTTTTTTGATGATATCATTTTGCTACTGACCTAGAAACGACTCAATTATTATTCTTGCTTTATTTCTGTTTATATATTTTTTATTGGCAATTTA